GCTTAGCGGACGGTTTTCGCCGGTTGTCACGTTCGCCTCCCCTAGGTGGACAACCTGATACGAAAGCTTAGCACAGCCGTAGGTGGTGGGTGTTCGAAACTCCCCTGGCCCACGATCGCGGCCTGGCCTTTGGTTCTTTAGAGCGGCGATTTCCGCCGGGTGCTATCCGTAGGCAACCCTTGGGGAGAGGTAAAGTCGTTGGAATGATTCTCCCGTGAGTAAAGGAAACGCTTCCCCCAGCACCGAGTGCGGAGTCAGGAGGCGAGGGTGACGGTTCATTTCCCACTTCAACTTTAGATCCGTGATGAGCTAGCTGCCCCAGGGTCGTGGCTGTGTGGGAGAGGGAAAGGGAATGGAAGTGGAAGGAACTTAATGGGGTTCCCTCATCCAGTTGCTCTCCCTCCTTTCTTTCTCCCTCCCCCCTTTCTTTCTCTCTTTTTCCCCTCAGCGAGGCCCCTGGCTTCCTTGGCTCTTCTAATGGGTGGGTAGATTGGCAGGAAGTTTCAAAAGAAATTCGAAGCTTCAAGGCTATCGATTTCAGGTGCCTGGGAGTTTAGAAACAGTTGGAATGGCAGTTTTTAAATCGAGGACAGCGATGGTGGCCAGGTGTTCTGAGACATGCCAACATGTGGCCTGTTCGCCGCTACATAATTGTGATCTGTGTGGAGATCACCTTCCTCCTCTGTGACACCTCAACTTGCTTTTCGACCCGGAGAGATCTTAGAAACTCTTCATAATGCTGATGGACTCTGGAGGAATTCAAGGCTGGGCCTTCCCACCTGGAAAGCCGCTGTAGAGAATGGAGAAGAAAGCCTTTTTAAAAGGTTTTAAAAAGTCTCCGTCCAGTGAAACCGAAAGAACTGAGACCAGAGTGCTGTAACGAAGGACAGCTTTACATACAAATAATGGCCTTTGGTCATAACCATCCTTATGAATGTTTACCAAGCTTGAAAGAATCTCAGTATGCTCGCCATTTGTGCTCCAGACTTTATGGCCCATGTTTGTGATCTGAAACACTTGTTTGTTTTTAATCGAAAAAGGAAATTAGGAGTTTGGAACACATAACAGGTTGATATGAAAAACTACCCTTTTTAGTTTGTTTCAAATAATGGCGTCTCTTTCAGGATTGGGTGTGGAGTACTATCCTTTCTTCCATGTCCAACTCCAATGACTTCCCAACCTCATAACAGAAAAAGCTCCAAGTCTCTTCCTGGTTTGTTCCCAGCTACACAATATTACAGATGTAACTTATTTTATCAGAGTTTTTATTGGGGGGGGTGTCTTCAAAAATTCTAAATGGCTGGAGCCATGCCCCCAGCCCTCATCTAACTTATTTCAGAACAGAAAATCAAGGTTATTCTGTCCTTTTGCTTTTGAGAAATCAAACATCAGAAGTAAAGCACTTTTTAAAGCACATTTTCTTGATATGTCTTGATCCTACCTCAGAGTCTGACATAGTATTTTGTAGTGCCAAAATGAGAATTTCATTAGCAGACTTTTTTTAAAAAAAAGTGATAAATGCTTAATCTCAAGGGAAAAAAGTTGATGACATTTAAAATTTCTGCTTTGGATGATATTTATTCTATCCCTCATCTAACAGTCACAGTCTAGTTAAATTACAGAATGAAATAAGGAGTCATTTGCATGCGGAGATGCCACTTACTTCGAGGTAAAGATGAGCTGTCCTCAGTAATACATACTTTCTCAAACATCTGTAGTAGTTTCACTGGAATTACTCATTTTTTTAAGGATGGGTTTCTATTCACTTAAATATAGATTTGATCTTTCACTAATTTTCTTTGCTAACTGCACATAGCTATTGATTATGAACTGCACTGGGTGTGCACTAGGTGTGACTAGAAAATAGTTTCATTAAAGAACATATGTTTGGGTGCAAGATAGATATGGAACTCAGCTTTATCATAAAAACTTAAGAATAATTTGAAGATGATGTTTAAGTACTTACATACTTACATGAAGAGCTATCTGGGAGATCTGACATTTAACACTTTAGACAATACATTTAACACTTTAGACAATAGAGGTTTGATAACATAACCAGTTGATACAATAAGAGAAAACATATAGTTGACATGACAAAAGGAAGGGGAAAAGAGCCTAAAAGAAGCATACTGAAAGTTTCATCAACACTCCCCAAAGTGTGCTCCTAAGCATTTCTTAATCCCATCAAGCTGTTGAGAAGAACCATTACAGTCTTCAGAATAACTGTAGATTAAAACCCCACTCATTTCAATAACATCTAAAAGACATCCCCCTAAAACGTCTCAAAGATGCAAAGTAATTGCTAACAAGTAAAACTATTCCAAGTTAACAGGAATAGTTAATGGTAACAGATAGGGGGAAAATCAAAGCATTACAACAAAAACTTGACAAAAGTCTGTAAAAAAAATTAAGTTAATTGAAGAAGAAAAGCAAGATGAATCTTGAAGTGAGGTCCTTACTGCAGGATTAAGAAAAATAGTAATGAATTCAAGGGTACTAGTTGTTCTAAGATGAGTCAAAAGCTTAAGATATTTGTACAGCACCTTCCCAAGGGCAAAAAACAAGAAACTGATGGGTTTGAGTTTTATGGCCCTACTAGATTTTTTCTGACCGTGTGCATGTGTGCGCGCAAGCGCACGCAGAGATGAACTTCACTGCCTGGGCTGGCTTTGAACCATTATCCTGAGATCTCAGCCTCCTGAATAGCTAGGATTACAGGCATGAGCCACTGGTACCCAGCTAAAAATCTTAATTATTTCGTATTTTTCTTTCATTGTCATACTTTCCATAACAAAGATATATTTTTAACTGAAGTAAAACTTAGGGTAAAAGCAAATTGCTCTGGAGAAGAAAGTGAAGTGACTGAAGGTTTACCTAGGTTCATGTTTGTTGAAGTAAAGCTTTTAGCTTCTATTTGAGAAGCTAAATGTGCAAGTCATTCATTTCATGAATATTTATTAACCAAATTCATGCCAGGCACAATTGTAGATGGTAGAGTGCTATCAGAACAAAACACACAAAATCTTCTGCCCTATTTGGAGGCTATATTGATACTTTTTTCTTTTAGAAGCCTGAAAGACTCAAAGGTACCAATTATAATAGTACAAAATTAGTATGTCACATTTTTTTTCTTATGGAAGCATTAATACTAGCTTGAAAATGGATAATTAGGTTGTACCAAATGTACACTGAAGTTAAGAATCACAAAAGTGGACTTTTTTCAGACCGTTTCCACTTTTTCTCTACTCACATGTACAAACATAGCCAATATAAAATATGAAGAAATATGCCTCTGAAAACTACAAATTGCTGCATATAATATAACTTCTGTTTTTTGTCAGAAACCCTAATGATGAAAAATACAGATCAATCCGAATTGGAAACACAGCTTTTTCTACTAGACTCTTGCCTGTCAGAGGAGCTGTTGAATGTTTATTTGAAATGGGTTTTGAAGAGGTAAGTATGCATATGTGTTTCTTCTCCCCGCTTTACAAATGAAGCAGTTATAATGTTGGTAATTTTCTGAATAAGATTGTATTTTTATTAATTGATCACTTTATAAATGGTTAATTCTTTGTCTCTTCAGTCTTTTAGCAAAAACTTGATGTACGGATATATATGACTACTGATAATAGACTGTGTGTTCAGTAAGAGATGGAAGGAATCTGAAGTAAACCCAGAAAAGCTAAGTAGAGTTGGCACAAAAAATGGTTTGCTTCTGTGACAGGAGAGGAGTTGTAATGTGTTTACTTCACAAGAAGTTGGTGGTTCCATCTTCTAGAATCTTTTGACAGTGTTTACTTTTATAACACAATAGAAGTAGTTATTAAAGTCATGAATTAGCTAGGCATGGTGGTACATGCCTGCAGTCTCAGCTACTTGGGAAGCTGAGGCCAGGAGGATTATGAAATACACTTCAGCCTGGGCAGCAGAGCAAAATCTTGGTTCTGTTTTATGGAGCACTGGAAGAAATTGAACAAGATTACGGAGGCACAGTTGTCAGTGGCAGCCTTAAGTACTAAATTAACAGTGGTAGACATTGTTTGAAAAGTTGTGTTTAGCTACTATAGGTTTCCCTTTACTGTCTGCTTCCCAACCCAGATTCTATTAAAAAAAACTGAAGATGTGATAGTGAACTAGGTAATTATAATCCCATCTCAGCTAGAGCTCACATTCTAAAGTAAAGGTCCAATGAAAAGCAGCAATGGTAGGCAGTGGCCTAACAGTGAAAGCTCAAGGAAAGCCTCTGTGAAGATTAAGCTGTGACCTGCGGGACAAGAAACAGTCCAGTACCTGACACTCCTTTCATGCAGAAGATTGATGTGGATAATGAAGTTCTGTTAGGCATGATTCTGACACCCAGAGACAAAATCCAGGACTTGCATGGATTTGAGGGCTATGATAAAGACTTAGACTCTATTCTAAGTGAGAGAGAAAGGCATTAGAAAGTTTTAAGAATATTTTCAAAGATTATTCTGGCATTGTAAAGAAAATGTTCTAGATATTTGGGAGTTGGGGGAAGGAATGGTACCAAGATACCATTAGAGGCCTTATTGTAGTAGTCTAAGTAAGAGATGATAGTGGTTCTGTAAGTTTCTTGATGGTAGTGCTAACTTTTAGAAGACTGCTAATGCATCACAGATGTTAGGCAGTAGGATACATGGGACTAAAGTATGGTAGCAGTGAAGGGGGAGAGAACTATATAGGTCCAGGTCTATATAATTCCACTAATTATATTAGTGGAATATATCTATGAGTGGAATTATCAGCTCTTACTAATGAGTTGAATGGTGGAATATAAAGGGAAAGAAGTAATCAGGATCTTATTAAGTTTTAGTTTGAGAAGCTAAGTAGATAGGAGTACCTTCAAGTTAGATGGAGAAATATTGGACAGTAATATGTTTCAAGGAAGAAACCACTACCTATGTTTTGGGCAATTACAACTACTTTCCTGTTAAATACTATTCAAGTAGAGATATTATTGGTTAAATGAATCCACAACTCAAAAGGAGAGATCAGGCTGGGGATATAAGATACGGTGTCATCAGATCACATATGATACAAGGCATCTGAACAGAGAGAATTTGAAACTTGCAGGGAGAAAAATGACACTATTGCTGATTTTGTTCAAGGAAATGCAGATTTTTGAAACTCCGGTTAGGGAAATGAATAACTGACAAGTGGAGACAATGTCAGTTTCTCATTGAAGTGTCAGATTCGGTGGAATTAATATTTGTCTTTCTTTTCACAAATACTTCCAGGTAGGAAAAGTAACTGCCCAGTTTATCCCAGAATCATTCCAGAATTTACCACTGTTCTGATTTCTCATGTTATAGAAAACCCCTGAGTCTCAGGCAAAGTTGATGGTAAATCAAACTAGCACTACCTAACAGACCACTCAGACTTAGAGCAGTATTGGATTTGCAAATTTTCACAGTTTCAGAAAATCTGAACTTTTTAATTTTCTGTTTGAGGATTAAACTTGGGGCATTATTCTTGCATTCTACACTTAACCCATGTCTCAACTGTTTTTGGTTTAGATTAGATTTTTATGTTTTATTACCCAATGCTACTCCTCAAGTTTTTACCTCAAGGCTAGTGCTCTTAACAATTGAGCCACAGCTCCATTTGTGACTTTTTGGTGCTTAATTAGAGATAAGAGTCTCAAGAACTTTCTTGGCCAGGACTACCTGTGAACCTTAATCCTACTTTTAGCCTACTGAGTGGCTAGGGTTACAGGTGTGAGCCACCAGCACACAGTACTTTATATTTTTATAGGTAGGTGTCAGTGTTTGGCAGGGTGAGCTTTAGATCTTGATTATCCTACATATCCCTGGGATTACATGAGCCACTATGCCCAGCTTATTTGTTGAGATGCAGATTTATTAGCTTTCTGCTTGGGCTGGCCTTGAACCATGATCCTTCCAATTTCTACTAATTGAGTAAACTAATGGAGTTGAAACTCAATTCTACTACCCATAAGATATTTATTTGCCTCTTTAAGATTTTTCTGACATATATATATATATATATATATATATATATTCCACCACATTTTCTTGATCCATTCATCTACTGAGGGGCATCTGGGTTGGTTCCATATCTTAGCTATGGTAAATTCACTTGTTCATTTCTTAAAACTGTTATACAACCTTGTGGTTTTTGGTCTGTGGTCTAAGATGGCATCAATACAGCAAAATAATTGAGATCATACAATTTTTTTTTGTCTTGGTGGTACTGGGGTTTGAACTTAGCATTTCCCTTGCTAGGTAGGTACTCTACCACTTGAACCATGCCCCTGATATTTTTTGCTTTAATTTTTTGTGGTTTTTTGTTTTTGTCGGTCATAGGGCTTAAACCCTAGGTCTGGGCGCTGTCGCTGGACTCTTAGCTCAAGAAGAACACTCTACCACTTGAGTCACAGTGCCCCTTCCAGTTTTGGGATGGTTAATTGGAGATAAGAGCCCAGGCTAGCTTTGAACCCCTGTCTCAGATCTCAGCCTCCTGAGTAGCTAGGATTACAGGCATGAACCACTGGCGCCCAGCTTGCTTTAGTTTTTTTTTGGGGGGTGGGATTTTTTGTGAGGGTGTTGGAGTCTCACCTTTTCTATATGGGTGGTAGTAGATGGTCGTCTTCCTACTTAAACCACTCATGTAGCTGGGATGGCAGATATGTATGACCATGCCTAGCTTTTTGTTGAGAATGGGGTCTTCCTAAGTTTTTGCCTTCACTGGCCTCAAACGCAATTCCACTGGTCTCTACCTCCCAAGTAGCCATCACACCTGAGTTCATGTGGTTTGAATCCCAGTTCTGGCTATCATTCTGTAGTATCAGATAGGTTATTTAACTTTTCTGAGCCTTTATGTTTTCATGTTAAAAAAATACTAAATCTAATACACCTTCCTTTCAAGTTGGTTGTGGAAATTACTTGAGAAATACTGACTGCAAAATGCATAGAACTTAGAACTTACAAAACACACACAAGCATACACAAATACATGCACACTAAAATGATCCTTTTTAAAATATATAATATTAAAAATTCAATCCAGGATCTCATACTTGCTAAGCAAAACCTCTACACCTTGATCTCTGTTTCTAACCCTTTGCTTTAATTTGTTCTTAAGATAGGGTCTCACTGTTCTCAGGCCTTGAACTTAGACTCCATCTGCCTCCACATCCCCCAGTAGCTGGGATTGCAGATGTACACATCAGCTTTTTTTTTTGTTTCTGCTTGTCTTGGGACTTGAAATTAGGTGGCTCTGTGGTAGAGCGCTTGCCTTGCATGCCTGAGGCCCTGGGTTCGATTCCCCAGCACCACAAAAGAAAAAAGCCAGAAGTGGCGCTGTGGCTCAAGTGGTAGAGCGCTAGCCTTGTGCTGAAGAGCTGAGGGACAGCACCCAGGCCCAGAGTTCAGGCCCCATGACCAGACCCCCCAAAAAAAGAAATTAGGGCCTGGGTGCTGGCTCTAAGCTTTTGTGCTCAAGGTCTTTAAGGACTTGAATTTAAAGATTGTTCTATAACTTTAAATATGTATAGTTTAGTTTAACACATAGTAGTTAGGGTATAGTGTAAAGTTTCAGTACATACATACAATGTGTAATGATCAGATCAAGATAATTGGCATAACAATTATGCTGAAAATATTGCAAGCCCTCTACCAATGTTTTTGAATATTCACTTGTCAACCAAAGCTGTTCTACTGTGCATTATATAACTTCTTACTGGCTTTATATGATCCTGGTCCTTTTCTATCACTGTGTCTCCACTGTCATTCATAAGGAATGTCACAGAGAACAACAGTATACTATTGCAGAGAAGATAGGAATGTGTGTTTTACCACTCAGATGTTCTATTCCAAGAAGATCAAAAATTTTTCTGAAGGTCCTTTAAGTTATATTAAATAAACTAAGTGTATCTCATGCTAACAAGACAAGTTTTCTTAATTGTTGAAAAAATCATGAAAAATTGTTAAAATGTCATATTCTATAGTATTGATTTCATGTTTATATGTATGAATGATTGTCTAAAGCAAATCTTAAACCTTCTCAATTTAATAAATTTTAGGGAGAAACACATCTTATCTTTCCTAAAAAAGCTTCAGTGGAGCAGCTGCAGAAAATCCGTGACCTGATTGCCATAGAGAGAAGTAGTAGATTGGATGGGTCAGATAAGAGCTTTAAAGTAGGATCATCTCAGCAACAGGCCTCTGGGACCCAGATTCTTACAACACAGTCTTCAAATCTTAATGAATCCCAGTATCCAGGGAACCATCAAGGGCAATCATCACATTCACTCTCTGCTCCAAAGGTAAAGTATGAATTAAACCATTCATTCTGTCCAGGTGTTAAAAAAGCAAGCGCTTTAGAGTACATTATGGATTGTCCCTAAATGGTATTGTTTGTTCTCCAAATTTCTTTAGCACTTTTTATAGCAAATTTTGGGATAATGGTTGTCATTTACTTGTTTGTTTGTTTATATTTTATTTTTGCAATAGGGTTTTACTGTGTTACCTAACTGGTCTCAAATTCCTGTATTCAAGTGTTTTTCCAGCTCAGCCTCCTGAGTGCTGAGGTTATAGGCAATTAACCTTACATAGCTATTTTATTTACATTTTTAAATGTACCTGGTGTTTGGTTCTTAAATCAGTTACATAAATTAGCATATCTCTTTAACTTAAATAGACCTAAACCAAACAAATTAATAATCAAATTAGTAGATTTCTCTACTTCATTGACACTTATAAATTCTACCTGCTGCTTCTTACCATGGGATTTTTAACTTCAGCAGTCTAATCATTATCAGCATCTTAGGTCCACTTAAAATCAGCTTCTTTAAGTTTAAGGAAAGAAAAAGCCATGAATATACTGATAGTGGATCCTAGCAAATAAGCAAATATTAGCATACACTTATACATACTTCTTAAGAAATTTGATTTTCAATGTCTTATAAGCATTATTTGTAAGCCTAAATGATTCCATTTAATAGGAAATAGCCTATTTAGAAAAATTCCTTCTGATAGAAGTCTTTATCCAGATTTTCCCTGTAGAAAAGTTTTTTTGTTATACTTCTATAATTACTTTTTCAGTATCAGTTTAGGCTCATGTTCTCTTTTGATTTTGGTAGAACTCCTGTCACTGTCCTCCATACAGCAGAATATTAGAATCCACTCTTAATCTTCTCAAGTTAGGTAGCTCCACAGCTTTTCCTCTCTTCTCCTTAATAATCAAATGGTGGAAGACATTCCTTTGTAGAGGCCAGGAAGACCCAGACGTCTCCTTTAAAAATAAAGGATGAAAGTAGTCTCTGCCAGCAGGAGAAAAGATGGAGAGTGTTACTATCTTTTTACATAATTATGGTGTGATACTTAAAAAAAATTCTTTCTGAGTGCCAGTGACTCACACCTGCAATTCTAGCTACTCAGAAAGCTGAGCTCCAAGAATAGTGATTTGATCCCATTTCAGGCAGTAAATAAAGCTCACTAGTTTCCATATATAACAAATAACAAGCAAAAGGCAGGCCTGAAAACATGACTTAAGTGGTAGAGCCCAGCCTAGCAAGCAAATTGAGCACACATGATGCCTTTAGTTGAATTCTTTCTTTAACTTATATTTAGTACTAGACAGTGCTATCACAGTTTAGGTACAAAAACACTTTGAAAATAATTTATTTTGTAAAATATCTCTTTCCTGAACTAAATAGAATTGTGTTGCTGCTTTGACTGTGAAGTCATATAATTCGCATTATTTCAATCTTCGTTAAGCGCCTTTCTTTTTAGATTTGCATTTAGTTGTAGCACAGGGTCTTTAAGGCCTAGTCAGTCTTACCAGTCTTGCACTCTATGAAACACATCATTTTATTGACCAAAAAAAATTCTACACTTTGGAAGAAAATCAACTTTCTCAAATATGCATGCTATTAAAAGGCTAGTGTTTAGTATCATTTTCCTAGACTGAGAATGTAGTTCAATGATAGAGTCCTTGTTTAGTGTGCTCTAGGCCCCTAGATTCAATCCTCAGCACCTCACCAAAAAATAAAATGTGGATCTTTTACTGTGTTCCTTAAAGCTGTTGGGAAAAAATGAATGAATAAATCCTTTATTATTATCAGTGCATTATTGGAACACACATATTTATTAAGGTTTTTTGGTGTTACTACTAGGGGAATTCTCTACCTCCTGAGAACCCCTTTGTGCACTGATTATTTCTAAGACCCGATCTAGCTTTGTTCCTGAGCCACGCTGGGCTTTGATCATCCTATTTGTGCTTCCCTATATCACTGACAATGACAAGCATGTATCACTACACCCAACCATGGTATTTTGTCTCTGTAGCTGGGATGATGGTATTCATCAAGCCTAGCCATTGGTTGAGGTGTAGTCTCATGAACTTTTATGCCCCACCTGGCCTCAACTCTTACTTTCTCTTTATACCCCCAAACCCAATTTCCAGCTCTCAAGTAACTAGGATTATAAGCTTGAGCCACCACACTATTTATTTATTTTTATTTATTTTTTTTTTTGGTCCGGTCGTGGGACCTGAACTCTGGGCCTGGGCGCTGTCCCTGAGCTCTTCAGCTCAAGGCTAGCGCTCTACCACTTGAGCCACAAGCCACTTCCGGCTTTTCTCTTATGTGGTGCTGAGGAATCGAACCCAGGGCCTCAGGCATGCAAGGCAAGCGCTCTACCGCTGAGCCACCTTCCCAGCCCCACACACTATTTATTTTTATTTTTATTTTTTTTGTCAGTCGTGGGGCTTGAACTCTGGGCCTGGGCGCTGTCCCTCAGCTCTTCAGCTCAAGGTGAGCACTTTACCACTTGAGCTACAGTGCCACTTCCGGTTTTCTGG